ATAACTATAGGAAAAAAATTCGAATGTGACAAACACATTTATACACACGTATACACAATATCCGAGAGTTTACACACCTCTATACCATTGCGAATGATATAGAGGCAAAGTAAATATAGATGTGCATGTTATAACTTGGGCCCACCTACGCTTCTAGCTACACTACTGGTCCTTAAAAAGACAGTATTAAACATGTATTAAAGTACTTTTTTTAATGTACCAGTCGACCCCCCCATAACACTGTTGATTATTCCGTTTTATATGAATTCCATGTTGTACGAGTCACTTAGATTTTACATATACGTGTTCTGGGCTGTCGACGGCTCAGGTATTTGTAAAATCTAAGTGACTCGTACAACATGGAATTCATATAAAACGGAATAATCAACAGTGTTATGGGGGGGTCGACTTGTATATAGATTTTCATTGATGTCTTCATTTCTAGAGTTCAATTCGCTTAAAAAAATAGCAAAGTTTTTTAATAAATACGTTATTTAAAGACATCTACACCGTTCGCAATAATTAAATTTTAATTAAATTAAGAGAAAAATTGTCATATTTACAATTAGGGCAATAACATTTGAGTAGAGTCCAGCTTATTTATAATAGTATATAAAAAGAAAATACTTTAACTGATATTTTTAAATGTCTTTACGACGAAGGAAAAAAACTGCTATCAACATTAATGAGATGGGGGATTTCTTTCATCATTCTTGTTCTGGAATAAGGATTACATAACATCCCTACACTCAGCTTATTACTCGAGTTAGCTATAAAGCCTAGGGAATCGTTAGGAGGAAATATATATATATAAGTTATATAGCTCAAAGGGATAATTCTCAGACTTATATGATGAATGGATACAATTCCTACTACAAGATCCATTTACCACGTTTTGATTACCATCCGGGCACAGTCATTGGTTTTTAGAAATCGTTTTCTCTGCAAGAGATCGTTAAATCAGATTGGTGTGTGACAAGTCAGGACAAAAAAAAACATGCTAACGTTTAATAATCATTCATAATACCTGTACTTAAAAAAATCATTAAAATTTACAATGTTCTATCTAGAGAAAAGAAATTGTAAATAGTATTTCGTGTGTATGGGGGGCACGATTTTGTTTACTCTTTGAAACTTAATAACTCCTGTGCTTTTTGTCGAAAATTTCTGAAATTTTGCAGGGAGGTTTGTTTATTAGGGAGATTGATGCTATTAAATTTTGGTGGCTAAAAGTCGAGGGGGTGGAGAGATAGAAGGGGATCTTTTGTGGTATCTCGAGTAGGATACGATTTTACTCCTTATTAGAGTTTAAAATTGGTTTTTATAAAATCATATCCTGAAAATTAAGCTTTTTGCCATTTTATAATAATTTAAAAATATAAAAAAAATGTTAGTAGTAAAATATCATAACAGATGGCGCAACACACGTAGTTTTAAATGTTGCCGGGAAAGTTATGCAACTCGTTGCTATATTTTTTAAAAAATAACTTCTGAATTTAGAGAGAGAGAGAGTCATCATGTTTTCGAATATATTTCAAAAGATACATTTAATTCGCTTTGTTGATAGTTCAATATATTACATTAAACTTATAGATATAGATACTTAAATCGTAGTATAACTGATATATATATAAAATATATTTTTTAATATTAATATTAAGAGAAAAATCACTTACATTGCAAGTTTCCATAGCAACAGTTGCAATCCAGAAGAGGAGAATATAGAGATTAAAAGGTATTAATCAAAATTTCCATATCTGAAGCGGAAATATTGCAGTTATCTATCTCCATTATAATCGATAATTTTTACTTAAAGAAAGAAATTCTATTAAAGTAATGCATTTTGTTTTCGTAAAAAAAAATTATAAAATTGTTTTTAGTCTGTTTTATTTAGAGAATCTCTTAAAAGTCATTTAAAATTTATTATTGTACCACATTTTTCAGTGAATATACATGTACAATTGGAAGCGTATACAATAACTTCGAACGTGATATCGGGTATGAAAAAAATTTATTTAAAATATTATTTTTATGTAAAAAGTTTAATTAATATAACNGTTTTTAGTCTGTTTTATTTAGAGAATCTCTTAAAAGTCATTTAAAATTTATTATTGTACCATATTTTTCAGTGAATATACATGTACTGTACAATTGGAAGCGTATACAATAACTTCGAACGTGATATCGGGTATGAAAAAAATTTATTTAAAATATTATTTTTATGTAAAAAGTTTAATTAATATAACTTCTAAACTGAGCCAATCATTGATAATTACAGAGAAACTTTCTCTAGAATAATAATAAAAACAAGACAAATAATAAAATGAAACTTAAAAGTTTGACTTGTGAGATTTTTGTAGTTATTGTTATCATAAATACCTCACCTACTGCAGATTTTTATTTAAGAAAAGAACCATTTTGGACACTTTCGAAGATGTAGTCTGCTTTTTTTCCCGTCTCAAATCCAACCTGTCAAAGAGGCATTGTCAATACATATAAGAGGTATTCGTAGTATTCGAATTTATCTTTTTATTAACGTTATACTTTCTATACTATTCGAGTAAATTCCCATCTCTATTATCAATACTTTTCCTATATTTGAAATCATAATATTTTTGATTATTTTCGTCCTATTTTTTTCATGCTTATAATGGGTTTGGCCAGGTATGTAATCGAGACAGGGGGGTTTACTATAGAATGATCGTAATTGTAATTGTTGTATGCAAATATGTAAATTATAATTAATCGAGAATATTTCATGTAAAATGACTAGTAATTGCTATTCTATTGTGAGTTAACATGTCTTAAATAATGAAATCCTTTATAATTTTAATAGCTATTATATAACAATAACTTAGAAGAATAACTGAATGAATTGTGCGTAATATAACAAAACGACAGTCGATAATTGATTAAATTTATCCTATGCAATAAATGCTCAACACGTATTTCCATAGCCACAGTATGCACCAATGCAAATTTAAAGTATGCCAAGTATTGTTTAATCTGTTTATTTCCAATTCGTCGAGCAGATGCCATCAATTATTCACATACAATTTGAAAATTGGAAAATGCAGTCATTTGGAAATTGAAACTCGGGCAATTATGCACGTTGTATATAATTGGATCTGACAACGAGAATGACGCCCCCGAAGATGAGTCGTTCACGTTTTCCATTATAACAACACTTTCTCGTTTCCGCCTAATTTATGCATTTTTATTTCGAATATCTTATGTCTGATTTGTTTATATAAATTTTTCTATCATTAAAATAAGAAATTTCGTCTTGTTTTACGTATTAAAAATGTTTAATTTTATATAATAATAATAATAATAAACTCATCTTACATATTTTATTTTAGAATAGACACACACACACGGTTGTTTTTTTTTTATTAGTAAATTATTTATTGAAGTGCAGCTCGGACAGTGACGAAGATTGGAGCAAATCTCAGGGGAGTTTTTTTTTTAATTCGCGTAAAAAATAAACAATATATAAAAGTTTTATTACTTCACAATTCTTTAAAGTAAACTATATAAACTGAAGAAACATTTTTTACATTATATTATAATATTTTTATTATTTAAAAACATTATTTTAATGAAATAATAAAGCGCATGTTAGCAAGAATCTCAGGAGGGTGAACTTCTGAATTTACTCTTGATTGTATCATACAAATTTCTAATTGTTAGAATATAGAGAAATCTGACACTAGTATATTTACTATAAAGATAAGAAATATATATATATATACCATTTTACACTTATAGTTTCTCTTGAATAAGGATGGTGGATATAGTTCTAGAGGAAATTCAAGATTGTTTATTAAAAAGTTTAATTTTTTGTCGTTCTGCAAAGTTTATTGTTGCTTTAGAAACTCGTAAAGAACCTTTAGTAATCCATTTAGCGATTTCTAACAAGAACTAATGGATAGAGAGTGCTTTTGTCTGTTACAGCAATATTTTTCAAGAACTCTTTATCTGATTGCACTTCTAATTTGGATGGGAATAAAAAGAAATGTCACTAACGTAAAGCTTGTACACAAATATATTTATTTGTAAACAATATCGAGTGATATTATATAAATTAGTTACTTTGTTCCGTTAATCCGATTTCTCTAGTTTTTTTTTTTATTCATTTTTTTAATTGTTATATTCAAAGTTTTCAGGCTGAATTCTAAAAGATTAGATAACATTTTCTTGATCTAAACACTGATAAATGTTAAAAGAATTTAAAATAACACGCCATTAATGTTACAAATAATTTATATTCGTTATCGAGTGTCAGAGAATTCATTTATTGATTTTTAAGTATCCTTATGAAATCAACACAGTGGTTTCACTTGACGGACATGGAAAATAAAATAGTCTCCAGTGTATTGAGATAATATAAAGTATAATTAAATTTAAAGAAGATTCGAAGTATATTCTTTAATATTTTTTTTTGAAATTTCAAGTGTTGCAACTTATTTTTCGTGGGAAAAAAATATTTATTGCTTCTTCACGCTTGTCAGGAGCCAGATTCGTTTTGATTAACGATCGTCTTAATGTTTTTGGCATTTTTATGAGTTGGCCTAGTGTTGAAAATTCGATCAGTAACACAAAAAATTGGTAATAGATTTCGATGAATTCCTCTTCGGCGACAGATATACTGAATCGATGTGATGTAACCGAGCCTTTTCCTTCGACGGATAGTAAATCTCGAACAACACTCTCGTACGAATCTTCTGACATAAGCTTAAACCTCTTCCAAACCATAAAATGGGCTGCATAGTTACGTAACGATGACATATAAACTTTAAATGGTGATATAAGAGGAATTTTGAGTAGATAAAGCTAAAGTAAAGATGTAGTTTGTTGGAGAATAAATATTTTAACGGTTTTATAAGATGAATAAGTAAGAGATAAAACAGAACTGTTTATATAAAAAGAACTCCATTGATTTATTAATTTTTCTACAAGAAAATACAATGCTCGAAACAATGCACTCGAACTTTCTAGGATAAACAATTTGATGAATTTATAAAGCTTATGCATCTTGGTCTCGATCAAATATGATTTTTTTTTCTTTATTAACAAGCTCGATTCTTTAACTGTTTTAAAACAAATACGAATATTTTAGGGTTTTAAAAAGGCTATTTTCATGGATAGCCAGGGCACAAAAGTAAACTATTCCTGCTCGTAATTGTTTGCTGATTTTCGTTTTCTGAAAAATAAAATAAAATCAAAATAATTCCATTATTTTAATTTTGATTTACTAATTTATTATATTTTAATATAAAATTAAATCGAAAATGGCATTATCACAATTTGCGGGCTTCAATTTTTAATATATTTAATTTAAAATATATATGCTCTCCATCTCAAATTAGTACTATCTTGCCCCTGTACATCATACTTTTCCTGATAACAATTGAGTCTTGCTGGTCATCTATCTAATTTCTATCAGGGGAAAGTTTTCAATTGAAATAACGTAAATTCCTTTGCAAACTGGAAGTTTGTATATAATTAATCGGGCTTTCTGCCTCTAAGTTTTCCATATATGGTCTCGACTTTCATCTATTTAATTCCATTCTCGAGATTAAGGAAGGACAGACGGACAGACAGACGACAGTGGTAATTTATAGGTCTACAGTTTTTTTTTTTCAAATTACAGTTCAATGAAGTAGAATTTATTACGAAATTGGAAACGATTCAATTTATTTTCACCTTCGAATGACAATTGTTAATTTTTTTAAAGTTTTTATCGAAAGTAAGTCGTTTCCAAACTTAGTTCCAGTATTGTTTTTTTTAAATATATGTATTTAGGAAATAAACGTCGAGCGAAAAAAATTTATGACAGAGCAAAGAACAACTTTCTCATTTTTAGATAGATTTATGTCAAGAAAATATAATGGATTTAGACATTTCGCTCATTCCGCGGTATACAATTTAAACAGAATAAGTTCTACTTTGAAAGAACATGCTCTAAAATAAAATGCATACATTTAAAAAAAGAAAAAAAGTATAGCCTATATACGCAAACGGTCCATAACCGATAAATTTATTATCTAAAACGTTCATTCTTTAACCGATGATTCAGTTTTATAGGTCGTAACGGTAAACTGCCAGTAACTTTATATAAATATATTCTAAACTTTTTATTTTCTCGAAAAATTTACTCGAATAATTACTCGTTTCTTTCATCGTTTTAATAAATATATCGAAAAGTTTGCCAGATGTAATTTCTTTCAGTTAAGATAATGCATTGCCTTCAATGGTTATCTCTTAAATCACCCACCATCTGTTTGTTGGTAAGTGTATATCATAACTCACCACTTTGTAAATGGTTAGGACTGAGTCTTGATACTTCGTATTCGCTTCTTTCTATTTCGTTTGGATCAAAAGATAGGGAACTCAGTTCTGTTGACTTAGATGAAATGCTGAAAGTAGGAGCCGCCAGATGATCAACCGAATGGATTTGCTTATCGAATTTTATCGATAGTTGCTGTTCCTTTTCCGAACTGTGTTGAAATCTAACGATCGGTATTGGCTAGAAAAATAGATTAAGGTTATTTTTAAAAAAATGGCTGACTATTTTTACACGTTTAAGAAGTAAGTAGAAGAGACTAAAGATGTCTTCGTTGTTTTTTTCTTCGGCGTATCGAATCACCGGGAACAACATTCTTCCATTGAAGAGACGATCTTTTATTAGAGGCTACCACTGAAATACCACTGAAAAATTATGTGTAAAATGCGTAAAATTCGTCAGCCATTTTTTAAAAGACATTCTGTATTTTTAAGTTAACCTTTCTGTATAATTTTGCAGAGCGTAGCCTGTAATAAAACGTCGTCTCTGCAATGGCGAAAAAAAAAATAAAGGCATTTTTAGTCTCTTCTGCGTATTTTTAAAGTAGATTAAGGTTATTTTATTTTATAGTTGGCTCATTATTAAAATTTATCGATTTTTACCTGTATATTAGCCGCTAAACCACCTCTTCCTCTACCAGCAAGATACTCTTGGTATTGCGAGACAACGCACAACAAACAGTATATCTTCAAGTAAAAAAAAATTAGCAATTATTATTATTATTATAAAGTAAATATAATCGTTAATAATTATAAAATTCGATACACTACACTCACATTTAAACAACAGATTAAAAAGTCGAGAGCGAATAGGAACATCAGAAGTGGATCAATTTGCTAAAGAAAATAGATCGAAATATTACTATAGAAACTGTTAGAAGAAGAAGGCATTTACTTTAAAAAGCATTAAATTATTTGACATTGCTAATTACAAAATTTAGAAAAGTTTAGAGGCACGCATTCTTTTCTAAGTTCGTATTTATAATAATTTCAATTACGAATTCAATTAACAGTCTCGTATTTATAATAATGTCATTCAAGTTGAAAAGTTAATTTAAATTCAATCGCTTAAGGTATTTCTTTAAAAATTGTATGTTAAAAAAAAATTCTGGAAACATCTTAGTTCTAAATTAATTATTTTCCATTGCTTAACGAGCTATTTATTAAATATATCGATTTATTTTTTCATTCAATTTTATCATTTCTTTTCTCGAGATGCGTTATACGCGATGATATATATGATTCTGCTTTACTAGATTCTCCTTCGACTCTATTTTTAGTAATACATTTCTCTTAAAGCTTTTATTATATTTCACATTTAAAGATTTTTCTACAATGGCCATATTTCCTATGCCTTTAAAAGGTTATAGATTAAAAATATAACTATAAAAAAAAGAGAATTAAATTCTTATCGAATTACTTACCGATTCGCTAATTAAGTAAAAAGATAAGACGAGATCCAAGACAGTCGTCATAGAAATAGATACGATCCAAGGCAATAACATTAGGCGATTGTCCTAAAAGTGAGGGATTATAAATAGAAGAAAGGAAGGAAATCAGAAATTCTGCATCTGTTTCTCTCTATTTTTTTTATTATTATAATAAATATTGAATCGAAAGCGATTCATCAGTGGAGTGAAAGTAATGAATTAAAGGGAAACACGAGGGGTAAACAAAGGAAACTTGCTTCTATTGATTTAGTCCTATTCGACTGCTTAACTTACCGCGCATAATCCAACCAAAAGCAAAACCGATGAAATAACACAGAATCCAGAAATGATCAACATGAACAAACTGAAGACAAACAGAACTGTAACAGAAATGCATCAATCAGTTTTATTTTAATTCTTTTAAAATATCTGATATTCAATTGAAATATTTTTACTTGAATATTATTTATAAAAAATAAATAAATATAATAAAATATATGCTGTCGATCTCAAATTAGTATTGTCTTTACCCTGTATATCATACTTTTCCTGATAACAATTGAATCGTGTCGATCATCTATCTATGTAACTCCGTTCCGAGGGAAAATTTTTGAATTAAAATAACGTGACTTCCGGTTTAAATTGGTTGTTCGTATATAGTTAATCGGTCCTCCTTTTTCTAAACTTTCCATATCTGGTCTCGATTTCCATCTATCTAATACCGTTCTCGAGATTCGGGAAGGACGGACAGACAGACGGACGACAGTGGGAATTTATAGGTCTGCAATTGTTTCAAATTACAATAAAATTTGTACCCGTTTTTAATATGTATCCTTTAGAGTTTCTTATTGTAATTCAAGTTATTCATTATCCACTATTAAGCAATTATCCTGGGAGAAAAAAATTTAAAAAAAATGCTAATTTATTAATTTTTTATTATTAAATTTCAAGCTAATTTGCCATTTTGTAAACTATCCTTTCATAGGTATACAACGAACTAAAATCTGATTAAAATAATAATAAACTAGTATAAGAAAAAAGAAAATTTCTTTTTATATCCTGCCAAAAATATTCAATAGTCTGTGTGAAATGGTATTCTTTATCGCACGTATGGAATAAATAACAATAACAAAGTTGACCATTCACCATTTTGAATATGATGTAACTATCTCGATCGAAGATATATCGTTCCATCAAGAATATCCATTACACTGTCAATAAACTGGTATATAATACCACGGTGGCACAAATGCACTCATCCTTTATCTAAGTATGAAAGGAGATAAATAGATGAAAATATCTTTGAATTTTTTTATTTTTTTAATAGAAATAGCATATTTATTTCATTGGCTGACACTAAATACCTTACCATAATAAACTTAATCGGATAAAGTTAAAGAGGAGTTAATTAATGATAAAAATATTACATAAAGATGCGTATTGCATGTTAAATATAGTGCACAATTGAACAATATTACGAGCTTGCATCCAATTAAAACAGCAGCAAATCTGTGAACTTGTAGTTTATCCATCTTTGAATGTTAAATATGAAACGATCAGTTTTATCTTAATGATCATTTTATCATTGTTATTATATTTAAGGCTGGACTTGGAGGCTGGATACCCAAACTCATTTATCTTCAAAAGAAAAAAATAGATGATTCTTCTTTCTTCCTCTCGTTTTCTTTTCTCTTGTACAGTGAATACGCAAAGTCATTAGTAAATTATACTAAATGACTTATTTTTTTTCTTTTTTTTTTAAAAGCAATTAAATTACATTTTCTTAGAAATATTTTATATTATATTTTACTACATTATTTTAATAAGATAAATAAATGAATGGATAATTTTCTTTTTTAATATATTGCGGTTTAATGAACGTATTTTTATTTAATAAATTTAATAGATTCGACGATAAAAATAATAAGAGAGAAATTTCCTTTCTAGAAAAATATAAATACATGTATATTTTATTTTTAGTTTCATCGATAATTTAGTTTATAAACATAAATAGGTTGCCTGAAGGCGATTCATTTGGAGATTTTCCCCCTTCTTTGCAGAGAATTGTAAATAGAGTTTTCTGAAGTAAAATTACTTTCTGACTCTTCTATTGATATTAAAGATTGTTATCAACCGAACGAAAATATATATATAAAAATTAATTAAAAAACAAGAAATTGGAGATTAAAAAAACAGAAATTAATTTGACTTGGAATTTCTATAGTCTGGGATGTTTTCAATTGCTTTTCTTTAGTGACCTTATTAGATTTCTACTGAAAATTGTTCATTTTTTAGCATTCTTTTTAAAATACCCTTTATCAAAGAATTTAAATATTCTTTCGGGAGTTTTGTTTGTTAATAAAAAAGAAAAGAAAGAAACGAATCTTTTCATATTTTCGAGAAATTGCAAATTATTGGCATTAAGTTAGTAAATATTCGATATAAAAATTCTGCTAATAGTTAATATTATCTTTTATATTTTATTAATAATTGCCAAAAGGCAGAAATTAATTAATTTTGTTTATATATTATCCACGTAGATATTGTTTATAAATAGGAATTATTATTATACAGGTAAAAAATAAAGATATTTTGTCTCATTTTTTGACTAAGTTTTCCTCTTTTTTTTTTTGCTAATTGGAAACCATAAATCTTATTTATAAACAAAGTCTACGTGATTAGTACAGTCAACCCCCTATAACACTGTTGATAATTCCGTTTTATATGAATTCCATGTTGTACGAGTCACTTAGATTTTACAAATACGTGAGTCATCCACAGCCCGACACATGTATTTGTAAAATCTAAATGACTCGTACAACAAGGAATTCATATAAAATGGAAAAATCAACAGTGTTATAGGGGGTTGACAGTATATAAAGAAAAATTAAAATAATTTAAGGACATAAGGAATTAATTATTTTAACACCATCTGAAAATTGAAAAATTGTAGGATATTTTATCATCGAGTCTGATCAAGTTTAATACGAAAGAAAACGTTCAAAATGTCCTCCTCGGGCTTTTGACAGGTGAAAAAAAAAGAAAGTGATAAGAAGGAGGAGAAAAGATAAAAAGTCAGGGAAAAAAACCGGGCAGTAATACAAAATCGAATATTCCATCAGCTTGGAGTGTGGTTGCTCAACGTCTTCTATGGTTAACTTCAAGAGCATTTGGGTTCAAATCCTGTCAACTTGTCACCGCTGCCTGGAACATTTGACGCAGATTAGATTTTCTAAGTCGGATATCTGAATAAAGAGGAGCATAAAATATATAAATACTAACTACTATATTAAGTTTAGACGAATTACGTACAGGAAGTTGACACAATTGATATCTTCGGAATATAGTAAATTGATACTGTTGTTAGTCTATCAAAACAAAACAACAACAAAAAAATTCCTTTCAAGTTTAAATTTCACCCGAAAAATATTTTTAAAATGATTTCCCCTCCCCTCCTCTTTTCTTTTTGTTTTGTTTTGAATATTTTAAAAGTTTAATGAGAGAAATGTTGATTAAATAGAACATAAAAGAGGAAATTTTCTATTCATTTCAATCTGCATTTGTAAGAGTTAATGATAGCAGTAATTAGCTTTTAAAATTTCGTTGAAAAAAGCTTGGAATCGATTACAAAATTAAACTTCAATGAATAATTTAAATTTATAATCAAAAATAGTTTATTTTGAATGATTAAACTATATTTATAATCTTTCCCCCCCCCTGTTTTTCTAGTTAAATTTATTTTTCTAACGTTCGATTTTCGTCATTTAAATACAAGAGAAAGAGAAGAAAAAAAAATTAATCCAAGTCTTCCAAATGTCTTGAATTGAAATTTTTTCTGACGAAAATTTCCATATTATCTTAATTAAGATATTTTGAAATATTTTTTCCCATAAAAAAATGAATAATTTACGTCTCCGTCCGGTAGTTTTTACAAGAGGATTTATTACCTTAGAAATATTTTGGATAAATATTAAAATTTTATAGATTTTTGGTAAAAAAAAATATATATTTTTTGATAGAAAAATAATGACAGGAAAATGAATATGTCCGATAATGGATTATGCAGAATATTACAACTGCATTCAAGCATTTTAACAAGATGAAATCTGCATGATTAGTGTTTCTAAACTTACACGTTGCATTTATAAAGAATAAATCAATATTCCTTTAACGTTATCGGTCAATACGTGAAACATGCAATGTTAAAATATATATATTGTAGTAGGAATATCTTAATGATGTATACATATCATCTATTGATTAGCTGAATAGCTAAAGGGCAATCCTAATTAATGTAAGATTGGATGGATAAGACAATGCAACAAGTGGGCGATCCACTAGGGAGTGCCTCTAGTGAATTTTCTATGGGAAACTGGACTCTATTTGGGTGAATAAAATTCGGAAAACTCAATGTGATTAGTCCTTGGTGAGGCGCGAATCCGTGGCCAAGTACCTATGGGAAATTGTTCCCTATTTAGGTGTTAGAGACGTGAAGAAATCTCGTCCAGCTAACAGAGTTTAGTGGTTTTACCCACTCGACTACTGATAAGGTCCCAATTTATAAATTGCAACATGATAATACAAGCTGCAGTTTAATAAGTTAGGCAATAAGCGCTTTATTTCTTTCATAACCGTAAAAAATAACAAAAAAAAACTATGCAAAACTAAGTAATACTTTTTTAAAAATGTAAAATAAAATTTAAAAAAGTGCATTAAGTATTTTTTAAAAAGTTTGCAAAGTTTATTTATCGAAAAAAAATATATTTTTTCACTTATACATTAATGGACAGCATATTTCAATCTTATTTTTTATTAATTTTTTTCTTAAATCACTCATACAAAAGAATAAAAACAGCTTCAACCTCATTCAATTTGGAAAACTTTTTTTTGTGTGTAAAAGTTTTGATATGCCTCTAATTAAAATTTGCAAAAGTTATTACTTACATTCATAAGCTCTGTAATGAATGAGAATCGAGCTGAATTATTTTCCATTCATTTATTGTTTGTGGAGAATAAAGAATCGTCCCATTTTTGTCTTTTATAGTAATGAAAAAGTCGTGCTGTTAGTTGCTATATATAACTTATCTTTTCTTTCAGAAATATCAGAACAAAGTGCTATACAAACATTCTAATTTTAATATTTATAAGTTTGTGTATTGCTGAATGATATTTCTTTTTCTTCCTGCAAAACTAGATTGGATTAGATTGATGATGCAGGGTAAAGCAACACATGAGCGATTTGCCAAGGAGGAGGTTCCTCCTGAGAGGACTTTTTGTGACAAACTGGCCCCTATTTAGGTGTTAGGCACTTGAAGAAAACTCAAAAAACACCACATGATTTAAACGCAAACTCACAACTAGTGCTTTTATTCACTTGATC